CAGGACTCCTGTTCGCGGAGCGAACGGCGGCCGAAGCCGTTGGCCGCCGCCTCATCTCCGGGGAAACACTCTGCCATCGGGAAAGGGGAGAGGGAGAGGAAGGGGCTGGGCGGCGGCGCTCGGGAGAGGTAGAGGGAGGGGCTGGGCGGCGACGAGGGGCAGGGCTGGTGTGGGCACAGGCGAGTGAGGCCACCGGCTATATAGCCGCGCCGCGTCCGTGTGTACGCGTGCGAGGGAGGGGAGGCGTCGGCGCGCCGTCCCGTGACGCGCCGCCCGTGAGGAATCAATGGCAAGGCTGACCGGCGGCAGCCTTGCCATTGATTCCCGGCGGGAACCGAGGCCGTTGGAGGAAGACGAGGCGCCGTGTCGCTGACGCGGCTGGCCCGCAGCTTTTTCGCGCCAAAACAGCTCGCCCTGGCGCCCCCGGGCGGCTCCCAGGGCGCCGGGTTCGGCCTGGGTCCGCCGGCGCTGTTTTCGGCCCAGGCCGGCGAAAATCGGACTCCTGGGGGCGCGACTGGGCCGTTTTTTCGATGCCGGCGCGAAAAAATCGTCTGGGGAGGCCTTCCTGGAGGCGCGGCTCCGGATGCTCTTAGAGGCAATGGTAAATAGTAAGTTCTCTATGAAAACGGTTAGGGTGAGCAACCTATAAGATGTAAACATTATGCACAAACAGACTGCGATAAGCTACACGTCGTAAACCTTACTAAGATAGATAAATCACAAGTGTTCCAGAGGAAGATGTATGTGGGTACTAATCTTCGTTGGAGAGGTGAAAGCCAACGAATGCCCTCATGACTGCGAATGTCTCGCCTACGTCTCCAAGTGCCTCAACCAACTAAGGGCACCCTCAACACCGACCCTCAAGACCGCATTGGATCGAGCAGGGCATGCCGGCCAATTCGCCCGAGGTCTCCAACGACGACCCCACGTGCTTCGACGATGACATGGCGCCGGACCAGCGTCGGTGCATGCCGGCCTGACCATGGAGCAGGCGCAGGAGCACTACGACGTCGTCACGGCGGAGGAGGAGCAGCCTGCGTCAGCTCCTCGGTTGGCGTTCCGGCAAGCGGAGGAGAAGTAGCGCTACAACTTGTTTCTCCTAGAGCATCACCGGCTAGCGGAGGGGGCTAGATTGATGCCGAGTGCGTGAACGAGGAGGCCGTGGCGGCCATGGCCGTGGCGAACCCCAGCTTCGTCGCGGAGAAGCGTGAGATCTACGAGGCCGTCCGGGCTCAAGCCGCCGCTCACCAATAAGCGGCCGTGGAGGCATGGCTACAGACGATCGTGGATGAGAACAACGCCAGTTGCGCCTCCAACAAACTATCGAGCGGCCCGGTTGGACGACGACAGTGACAGTGTCACCATCTCCATCGTGGACCTCATGTCCACCTTCGACGGACGGACTCCTCCAAAGATGAGTAGGGCACGGGAGGCGGCGGGGCCTTGTGTCCCATGTGGGCCAGTTTGTCTCCCGTGTTCTACTCTTCCTCGTCGGAGACCGTACCTTCCCTTCACGGGTCTTACCGCTGGTGGTCAAACCGTAGGATAGTTTAGGGTCGGGTTTCTTTTTTTGTTCTTGTAACGAAAATCCGGCATCTTTTCATGAATCTCGTCCGGTTTATATGAAAATCTGTCATGTTTGCATGAACTTTATCCGTTTTGTTGAAAAAATGTTTGAAATGTATGCAGGCAATGTTAGATGGCCGACTCCTGCATTCGTGTCTGCAGACTGATCCCCCTGTCTACGGACAGGCGAGGGAGGAAATTTGCGGGTCCCCGTTGAAGATGCCCTAATGCACTCACAAACAAGCCTGAAGCATAAATCCAAAACATGAAAGCTCCCTTTGACTCCAATCCGCACAGAATTCCCACGAACCCAAGAGTGAAAAATCACACAAAGAACTTGGGGGTTCAAGATTTGGTGGAAACACGAATTTAGCACTCCTCTTTATTTTTCTCACAATAAATGTGAATTTGGTTGGCTAGAAAGGGGGTGAAAGCCTGGATGTGATCAGCAATGGTGGAACTCTGGATCTGGCCAGGACCGTACCCCGTACCTTAGTGGGATAACTTGTCAAGTCCGGCATCAAAGTGGTAATTTACAAAAATTTAGAGTGTTCCTCTTTTCTTGTATGAATCATCATGAGCGTCAAGAATCTCTTGATAGAAAATCTTGGTTAGAAAACTGAATGTAAACACAACTTCAAACATCTGTACTTCACTGCCTTTAAAAAATGTGTCAACTTTCTTTGTGTGACCTCGATGAAACTGGAAACGTTCAGCTCAAGAATCTGTCAATTTACACTGCTGGATTACTTGATATGTACTGTACTCATCACTTTACATGTAGACAAGGATTGAGAATGGTGAAAGCTAATCTAGCTACAATGTTGGCACTTTCAAAGTCACAACATGGGCAGTATGCCTTTGTATCAGTCATATCTAACAATTGTGTTTTTCGTGTCTTCAGTTTTGTAACAGTTTTATTGAGTACAGGCTTCTCAACTTGGAGACTCCATCCATGAACTTAGTGGGATAACTTGTCAAGTCGGGCATCAAAGTGGTAATTTACAAATATTCAGAATGCTGCTGTTCTTCAAATGAAATTTTTTTGCTTGGCTCGCTTTAGAGTACAGACTATGGACCTCTGACAGGCGAAGTTAGGCATGGGCTGCAGGAGAAACATCGGCATTTGGAAGCACAAGCGCGCTGCTTCGACTCTCTTGATACAAAATTTTAGTTAGAAAACTGAATGTAAACACAAATTTCAAATATCTTTACTTTCGCTGCCTTCAAAAAATATGTCAACTTTCTTTGTGTGACCTTGATGAAACTGAAAAGTTTAGCTCAAGAGTCTTTCATTTTATATGTACTCAAGAGTCTGCCACTTTCAAAGTAACAGCACAAATTTATCCACAGGCTCCCCACCGTTTTTTATATTGGCAACTGGAAGAGGCATACATAATGTTAGGCCGAGGCCATCATGAGCAGGTTACAAGGTGGGGAACAGAAAGAAAACATTACAGCCCGCTTAGGCGGGAAATTATGAAATTTGTCCCCGAGTGGAGAGCCTCCCTATCGGTGAGGGCGAGAGGCGAGATTCAGGACCATGGTCCACCTGCACCCACGCTCGGTGCCGTTCGATTAATACTGCTTTCATGGGGATACACACCAGCTTATCACTCAAACTTCAAAGGTTAAGTTAATTCTAGAAAGGACCAGGCCTACACCCTTTCTTTTTTGAATCTATGTGGGCCCAAGCAGGTGCCCCAGTGCTGCTTCCCCTCCTGGTTGTCCCATACAAATAAAGCAATTAGTATATTTTTGATTATTTATTTATAGAATGGCTACAGTGTATGCATGGTACATCGATGTTTCTGTGTGTGTGTTCATGTTATTTTTTCATGCAAAAAGGATACTTTTGCGTTCTTAGAAGAAAAGAACTCTTGTGCTGTCAAAAAAAGAAAGATTTCATGTGCTTTCACATAACCATCTCTATCCTTTTGTTGCTACGATTTTATTTTTCAAGAAATTATTCAAAAGATATAGATGACCCAAATAACCATGTTGATGCACAGACATGTAAAAAAACAAAAACAATGATGTTGCACATAATAAGGCAATACAAAATGTTGAACAGTGCTGACCACATGGAGAAAACTACATGCACTGATGCAAAGTTTCTATTTTATTCCTTATGGCACTCTCCATGCAGTAGGTTTATTAGGAACACTAGGGCTATTAAACAATGGTTGATGATTCTTGTCATAAAATATTATGGGCGTTAGGCATAAATCCCCAAACATGATGTGAGCCGATGTACGGCACCGAGTATAGGTGCGGCTGATCCATGGTTTCAAGCAACATTACTGCGGTGAGGACAGCAAAACCGGCGAGCCCATAGCTCAATGTCATTGACAGCATATCGAGCGTAAAAGCCACACACAGGGGAATAATCACGTTTTATCCGTCGTAGTTGCCATCAGCAAACTTGTCCTCAGGGTAGAACACAGCAATCACCTGCCTCCCGCGAAACCACGTCAAGTGCAACATCGTCTTTGAATGTGTTGAGCTGTCGAGATCCGCGTACTCGAGAAACACCTGCAATGCAATACAAAAAGGCTGATTAATTTCCCCCTGTTACGAGATCTCACCTCATCTTCTGTCGAAATAAACTACTACTCCAGTAATGATCTAAACACTTTTATACTTTTTTACAGAGGGAGTATAAATCAGAGACTAAACTGTAGTCCCTCACCTTGCCAACTCCGGGGACCGGAGCACCGCTGGGGTGAGGCCGTGGGACCACGGCTCTCACCAGTTTACCACCGTGTCTCCGCCCTTCTACCGTCATCCACCAGCAGAAGTTGCGGTAATACACATCGTCCGCGAGCCGATCGGGTGAAAACATGCGGGTCAAACAGAGCACCCTTGTGGCTCCATCTTCGTGCACGGGGCTCTGCTTAATCAGATAGATCGTCGGTGAGAAACTGATCCTACTGAACAAATTCTTGAACTTGGACACGTGAAAGAACAAGAGGAGGTGGTGAATTAGTAGGAATTACCGGAGGAGTGGCAGTACTTGGAGGAAGTGGCGTGTAGTAGAGCACAAAGGAAAGCGGAGTGCCCTGCAGCGCGCACAAATATCATATCAGTAGTACAAGTAGATAGAAGAATTAAAGGAATCAAGCCATATCTGTAAGATGTATGTATGTATGTATGTATACCTCAGGTGTTTTGGCGTACCGTGACTGGTACAAGACTGGAATCGGCTGAAAGATGCAAAATTGGAAGTCAGAATATGTCATCATGTTCAAGCTAGCATAAGCGGATATACGCATTTGTTTCTCCCCGTGGGGAAATCCCTGGGAGTGAAAGCAACCGATAGTATGCGAGGAAACGGCGGGAGATGCGAACCTGCTGCTGGGAGCGGCTGTCGGTCGGCGGGGAGAGATCCCCGTGGTTGGCCATGAGACGCGGCGGCGGCGGCGGCGATTCCGTATGTTCGTGAGCAGCTTGGTCGATCGGATCGCGTGGGATTAAAATGAGATCGCCCCGGCCCTGGGTGGAGACGGGGAATTTGGGCTGTTCTTGTCAATATGATATGACGCTGGGGGCCCGATTTCAGATACGAGTCGGTTGTGTTTTGTATTTCTCGGACACGGTGGTGCAAACAGTTATATTTGATAGTCCCTCCATTTCACAATCTGGTGCGCCTGCGTTTTCCGAGATCTAAATTTAAGCATAAATTTAACCAACGAGATCGACTGCGGCGGGAGTGAAAATTATACCACTGAATTTGAATGGAATCGGGCCCAATACTATATTGTGGAATGAAGGGAGTATTGCTTAGTTTAGAGCATCTGCACTCGCGCAACATAGGCCGTTCGGATTGGCGCCGAAACGGTCGCTATGGGGACATCCGGACAAGACGGTCCCCATGGAGGGTGCCCGAGAGCACCTATAGGGCGCATAACGCGCTGGGAACCAAGCCAACACGCACCCCCCCCCCCCGTCCCCTCCCCTGGCACCCATCTGGGCCGACCCATGTGCGTGCCGGGACGCCACCCACTTTTTTTCTTCTTTTCCTATTATTTATTTCCTTTTTCAATAATTTGGGGTATCAAAAGATTCTAAATTTCAGATAAAGTTACGAATGTTGAATGAAATAATCACAAATTCACAAAATATTCATGATTTCAAAAAATTGTTTGGGAATTCAAAAAATCACGGTTCAAGTGAACGTTCATGAATTTTTAAAAAACTGTTCATGAATTTAAAAATGTTTGGGAATTCAAAAAAATCATGGTTCAAGTGAACGTTCATGAATTTAAAAATGTTCGTGAATTTCAAAAAATGTTCATGATTTCAGAACATGTTCGCGATTTCAAAAAATGTTCTTGATTTCAAAAAAGGCTCATGATTTCAGAAAGTGTTCACGGTTTCAAAAAATGATCATGATTTCAAAAAAATCTCGATTTCAAAAAATATTCATGATTTAAAAAATGGTTCATGATTTCAGAAAATGTTCGCGGTTTCAAAAAACGTTCATGATTTCAAAAAATGTTCGTGAATTCAGTAAAATGTTCACGTATTTGCATAAAATGATCACAAATTTTAAAATATTTCATGATTTCAACAAAATTGGTGGTGAATTTATGAAATTTCCATGATTCAAAAATGTTCAAGATTTCGAGAAAAATGTTTCACGAATTTAAAAACATATTCATGATTTTTTTTAAATGTTCACATTTCGAAAAAATTATTGTGAGTTTTAAAAAATGTTCATGATCTAAGATACTGTTCACGAATTTGTAAAAGCAAAATCACTACTTAAAAATGGTCATCATTTAATAAAAAATTTGTGAATTTAAAGAATATCCACAAATTCAAAAGATTTTCGCAAAATTAAAAAAGAATGAAAACCAAACAAGAAAACATAAAAGAAAGAAAAACGTAAAGAAAACAGAAAAGGAACAAAAAGAAAAGAAAAATGAAAAGAAATCAGAAACCGAAATAAACCAGAAAATCCCTATTCAGAGAAGGTTCCAGAACCTTCCCAAAACCGGTTGGGGGTGAAACCCCGAAATGGGCCGGCCCATTGAAACAGCACCGCGCGAGAGGGAGTACGCGCTAGGTCACTTCCCAGCGACCTACGCGCTATATCGGAGCGCACGGGGCACCCCTCCCCACTCACCGCCCTTAATCAGAGTTATCCATGCCCTGATCAGCGTTGTCACGCCCAATATGCGGTCCTATCCTCGAGGAACTCAAATGTCCTACCAAGGATAGAAGCGCATATTGAAGACGATTTTCAAAATGGATATCATTACATCGTACCATGTACAACATAGATAGGGATACATACAAAGGCATACTCTTGCCATATGAATACATCAATACAAAAAGAGGAAAAATCATACAGAAGAGTAGAATCCGACTACAAATGAAAAACAAGAACAACATTCACCCTGCTAGTCCAGGCTACCAACCAGGAACCCATCCCTTGATCGAAGAAGAAGAAGGAGAAGAAGAACTCCAAAACAAGCAAGCATCACTATCACGTCAGATCATCGCATTACATGTACCCGCATCTGTTGTTGTAGTAATCTGTGAGCCACGAGGACTCAGCAATCTCATTATCATGGGTATCAAGACTAGCAAAGCCTAATGGGTATGTAATGGATAATTGATGAGGTTGCAGCAAGCACTAAGCATTTGTATGATGGCTAGCTTACGAGTACAAGAGTAAGAAGAGTGAACTACGCATAATCGGTCGCATTCAGTAATGATTAAGAAGTGATTCTGAACTACTTACAAGTAAAACATAACCCACTGTGTTCTCTTCCCGAACTCCCTCGAAAAGAGACGATCACGGTTACTCACGTGGTTGGTGTATTTTAGTTAGGATTTAGTGTCAAGTTCTCTACAACCGGATATTATAAATTTCAAGTTGCCACATAACCGCGAGCACGACTTCCTAAAAGATTTAACCCTGCAGGGGTGCTCCAAGTAGTCCATTATAAATTACCACGTGCATCCAATGGAACATCCTCACACAATGATAATACGATGCTTACGGTAAGGAATCCCAGTGGACAAGTCGCTCGTCAAAGGTAAAACTAAATCAGCAAGACCTCCCGGCGTGTCGACAATCTCGATAGGAGCCGCACGTATCTCGTTCTCAGGACACGACTGGATGGGACAAGCTACAAGTAAAACCAGTCCCCGAGTTTCCCCGCGGTGGCCCTGCAGGCTGCTCGTTTTGGACCAACACCATCTGCGCTAGTCCACGTGCTTATGTTGAACTAATCCGGGGGTAGCGCTAACTCCCTACTCGTTAACAAGTTATCGGTATTATTATGTTGACAAATTTTAAAATCAAAGTTGGGCCTTGCTGGAAGAGTTTTATTCTAAAATGAGTGATCAGGGGTCCCCATAAAACTCACACATGTTAGGAGCGCTTATCATGGGACATAACATCGGTATGATGCCAACTAGGGCGGTATGAATGGAACAAAACACCAGGCAAAAGGCCGAGCCTGCCACACACAACCAAGTATATATATATGTATTAATTAAATAGCAGATATTCTGATATCCCATGATATACATGTCTCAACATGGAACAACCTGCACTGCAACTGCAACTAGCAACGCTATAAGAGGGGCTGAGAAAAGCGGTAACATAGCCAAACCAGTTTGTTGGGATGGCGAAAGGTTAGAGGTTGTTTCATGGCAATTTGGTAGGCTGATAGACAAGTGGTAGGGATCGAGACATAGGGATAGCACTGAGACATCTAGCAAAGCAAAGATAGTAGTGATATCCAAGGCAATGGCCATCTTGCATGAAATCCCGCTAAGAAGAAGACTAATTCCATGAAATAGTCGAACCAAGCGTATTCCAACGAATCCTCACACTCACAATGGCCATCTTGCCTGAAATGGGCACTAGAGAAGCAAACCGGAAAGAACAAATGACACAGTAAACACGCAAGCATAATCATGGCATGATGCATGATACGTCTTCAACGTATCTATAATTTTTTATTGTTCCATGCTATTATATTATCTGTTTTGGATGTTTAATGGGTTTTAATTTATCTTTTTATATTATTTTTGGGACTAACCTACTAACCAAAGCCCAGCGCAAATTGCTGTTTTTTTGCCTATTTTAGTGTTTTGCAGAAAAGGAATATCAAACGGAATCCAAACGGAATGAAACCTTCGGGAGAGTTATTTTTGGAACAAACATGATCCAGGAGACTTGGAGTGGCCGTCAAGAAAGAAGCGAGGGGGCCACGAGGCAGGGGGGCAGGCGCGCCCCCACCCTCATGGGCCCCTCGCAGCTCCACCAACGTACTTCTTCCTCCTATATATACCCATATACCCCGTAAACATCCAGGAGCACCACGAAACCCTATTTCCACCGCCGCAACCTTCTATACCCATGAGATCCCATCTTGGGGCCTTTTCCGGCGCTCCGCCGGAGGGGGAATCAATCATGGAGGGCTTCTACATCAACACCATAGCCTCTCCGATGATGTGTGAGTAGTTTACCACAGACCTTCGGGTCCATCGTTATTAGCTAGTGGCTTCTTCTCTCTCTTTGGATCGCCATACAAAGTTCTCCTTGATTCTCTTGGAGATCTATTTGATGTAATTCTTTTTGCGATGTGTTTGTCGAGATCCGATGAATTGTGGGTTTATGATCAAGATTATCTATGAACAATATTTGATTCTTCTTTGAAATCTTTTATGCATGATTTAAATATCTTTGCAAGTCTCTTCGAATTATCAGTTTGGTTTGGCCTACTACATTGATCATTCTTGCAATGGAAGAAGTGCTTAGCTTTGGGTTCAATCTTGCGGTGTCCTTTCCCAGTGGCAGCAGGGGCAGCAAGGCATGTATTGCATTGTTGCCATCGAGGATAAAAAGATGGGGTTTATATCATATTGCTTGAGTTTATCCCTCTACATCATGTCATCTTGCCTAATGCGTTACTCTGTTATGACCTTAATACTCTAGATGCATGCTGGATAGCGGTCGATGTGTGGAGTAACAGTAGTAGATGCAGAATCGTTTCGTTCTACTTGTCGTGGACGTGATGCCTATATACATGATCATTCCTAGATATTCTCATAACTATTCGCTTTTCTATATATTGCTCGACAGTAATTTGTTCATCCACCATAGAAATTGCTATCTTAAGAGAAGCCACTAGTGAAACCTATGGCCCCCGGGTCTATCTTCCATCATATTATTTTCCTATCAATTTGCTATTTCTATTTTGCAATCTTTATTTTCCAATCTATACAAAAAATATCAAAAATATTTATCTTATTATCTCTATCAGATCTCACTCTCGTAAGTGACCGTGAAGGGATTGACAACCCCTTTATCGCATTGGTTGTGAGGTTCTTGTTTGTTTGTGCAGGTACTAGGTGACTTGTGTGCTATCTCATACTGG